CCAGTTTGGGGAAGTTTTCAGCAATTATTTCTTCAAAGACATTTTCTATCCCTTTTTCTCTCTCTTCTTCTTCTGGTACCCCTATAATATGGATATTGTTCCTTTTGGGTTGGTCACACAGTTCTCTTAATATTGTTTCATTTCTGGAGATCCTTTTATCTCTCTCTATGTGAGCGTCTATGCGTTCCTGTTCTCTGGTTTCTATTCCATCAATGGCCTCTTGCATCTTATCCATTGTGCTCATAAATCCTTCCAGAGTTTGCTTCACTTCTGCAATCTCCTTCCAGGCATGTGTAATCTCCCTCCGGACTTCATCCCTTAGCTCTTGCATATTTCTCTGCATCTCTGTCAGCATGTTTATGATTTTTATTTTGAATTCTTTTTCAGGAAGGCTAGTTAGGTCTATGTCCTTCTCAGGTGTTGACTCTGTGATCTTTGTCTGCCTGTAATTTTGCCTTTTCATGGTGATAGAGATAGTTTGCAGAGCTGGCAAGAGTGATGGCTGGAAGAACTTTCCTTCTTGTTGGTTTGTGGCCTTCTTCTCCTGGGAGAACAGTGACCGTAGTGGGTTGTGCTGGGCACCTGCATGCAGACAGGGCTTCTGATTCCTGCCCGGCTGCTATGGAGTTTATCTCCGCTGTTGCTGTGGGTCTGGCCTGGCTTGGGCTGCCGCTCCAAAATGGTGGAGCCCCGTTGGAGGGGGAGCGGCCGGGAGGCTATTTCTTTCCATAAGGGGCCTCCGTGCTCCTTGCTGCCCAGGGGGCTAGAGTGCCGAGAGATCCCCAGATTCCCTGCCTCTGGACGAAGTGTCTCGCCCTGTACCTTTAAGACTTCCAAAAAGCACTTGCCAAAACAAAACAAAACAAAACAAAAAACAAAAAAGCTGCTCTCTTTTCTTGTCCTCAGGTGCTGGCCTCAGGGACCCTCTCACTGGTCTTGCTGGCCTGTTTCCCTAGTATCCAGGACCCCATGCATGCACTGTGTCTGCGCTCTGGTCTGTATGGCTGGGGCTGGGTGTTCAGCAGTCCTACGCTCCCTCTCCCTCCCTCCTGACTCCTCTCCTACCGCCCGGAGCTGGGGGGAGGGGCGCTTGCAACCCGCTGGACCGGGGTTTGTAGCTTACCCCCTTCGTGAGGCGCTGGGTTCTCGCAAGTGTGGATGTGGTCTGGATGTTGTCTTGTGTCCTCTGGTCTCTATTCTAGGAAGAGTTGTCTTAGTTATATTTTCATAGATATATGTGGTTTTGGCCGGAGATTTCCGCTGCTCTACTCACGCCCCCATCTTGGCTCCGCCTCTCCCAAATTTTTCCTTTTTGATTCAACTTCTTTCTTTGCCTTTTTTTTTTGTCTGGCTCTTTTCTTGGTTTATCTTCTTCCTTCTGGCCTTCTTCATCCTTTTTAAGCTGCTTTTTAGGCTGTTTTTCCTCTTGCCCCTTTTTCTTACTTTTGTCTTCTTCAGTTACCGTGTCACTCTCTGAAGGGAAGGACTGTTTTACCATTTTGGGTCTGCCTCTCGGTTTGGGAATCTTGACTTCTGCAGCTGCAGGTCGTCCTCTTTTCGGACTCATTTTTAGGTTAACAGATGCTGTTGCTGTCGTCACTACTCCTGCCTCCTTGGTTTCTACTTGTTTTTCTGCCTTTCTCTTTCTTCCACTTCTGGCAGCTTTTGGAGTGGTTATGTCACTTGATTTAGTCAAATCCTCATTGCTGGCTTTTTCTTCATGGTCAGTATCTTCCTTTGAAATACTTGTTTCTTTCTCCTCAACTTCAACATCATATGATGCATTTGATTGTTTAGTTGATGCCTGTTGACTTGAAAATTTCACTTTTGGATTGTTATCTATCTCCCATAAACCTTCATTAAAGCCTTTTTGTTTATTTGGTTTGCCATACTTTTCCTTATTTTCTGAGTAAGGAAATATGTCCTTTGGGCCTGAAAAAGCAGTTTCATGAGTTCCAGAAAAGAAAATGGGTAGTTTGTTTGTGGGTAGTTTTACAGCTCCATCTGGAACTTCATGTACTCGAGCTGGCCAATGAGGATAACCTTTCATCTTGGCGAAGATGAGGTCTCCAGGTTTGAAATTGTGAGTCATGTTTCAGGGGTGAGGCCAGGGTTCTGACGCACAGGGAGGTGGTGAGGCAGTTGGGACGGCCAGGGGATGCGGGAGGAAGGACGGAAGCCCAAACTCCCGGGGTGGCGGGAGGAGGAGGATGCCTCAGGGTGCCCTGACGTGCCTGCAGCAGAGAGCATGGGAGGCGGTTAAAGCTGGGAAACCCGCAGGGAGAGGCCGCACAGGGCAGGTGGGCGGGAGGTGGAGGTGGGAGTGAGGGAGAGCTGCCTCCAGCTCCCCCTCCACAGGTGCACGGCCTCCACAGCCCTGGGGTGATCCCTCCCAGCTCCTGCAGGTCCGCTGCCCAACGGCCGCCCGATGCACCTGGCATGTATCATTTTGAATCAGGGATTTTTGTTTTCTTCAGGTAAATTCCTAGAGGTAGAATTACTGGGTCATATGGTATGTCTATTTTTAGTTTTTTGAGGAACGTCTGTACTACTTTCAACAGTGGCTACACCAGTTTAAGTTCCTACCACCAGTGTAGGAGTGTTCCAATTTCTCCACATCCCTTATTTCTCGCCTTTGGGTAGTGGTCTATCTAATGGTGTGAGGTGTATCTCATTCTGGTTTTGAGCATGGGATGTGTTTCCATTTATTGGTTTCTTCCTTAATTTCTCTCATGAGTGTCTTATAGTTTTCAGAGTACAGGTCTTTCACCTCCTTGGTTATTTTCACCTCCTAAGGATTTTATTCTTTTTTAATGCAATAGTAAGTGGAGTTGTTTTCCTGATTTCTCTTTCTGCTATTTCATTGTTAGTATATAGGAATGCAACATATTTTTGTGTGTTAATTTTGTACCCTGCAACTTTGCTGAATCTAGTTATTAGTTCAAATAGTTTTTTTGTGTGTGTAGAGTCTTTAGGGTTTTCTGTATATAGTATCATGTCATCTGCAAATAGTGACAGTTTTTCTTCTTTGTTTCCAATTTGGATGCCTTTTATCTCTATCTTGTCTGATGCCATGGCTAGGACTTCCATACTATGTTGAATAAAAGTGAAAAAGTGATAAGTGTCCATTCTTGTCATGTTCCTGGTCTTACAGGAAAAGCTCTCAGCTTTTTGCCATTCAGTATGATGTTAGCAGTGGGTTCATTGTATATGGCCTTTATTATGTTGAAGTACCTTCCCTCTATACCCATTTTGTTGAGAGTTTTTATCATTAATGGATACTGAATTTTGTAAAATGCTTTTTCAGCATCTATTAAGGTGATCATGTGGTTTTTATCCTTCTTTCTGTTAATGTGGTGTATGACTTTGATTGATTTATGATTATTGTACCAACCTTGCTGTATTCCTGTAATAAATCTCACTTGGTTGTGATGGATGATCCTTTTGATATATTTTTTAATTCAGTTTGCTAATATTTTGTTGAGGACTTTTGCATTTATGTTCATTGGGGATATTGGTCTATAATTTTCTTTTTTGTAGTGTCTTTGTCTAGTTTTGGTATTAGAGTGATGCTGGCCTCTTAGAATGACTTTAGAAATATTCCCCCCTCTTCTAATGTTTTGGTATACCTTAAGAAGGATGGGTACTAGCTCTTCTTTAAATGTTTGATAGAATTCAGTTGTGAAGCCATCTGGTTCTCCTGGACTTTTGTTTTCTGAGAGTTGTTTGATTACCAATTCAGTTTCATTGCTGGTAATTGGTTGTTCAGATTTTCTGTTTCTTGCTGGGTCAGTCTTGGAAGGTTGTATTTTTCTAGGAATTTATCCATTTCTTGTAGGTTGTCCAGCTAGTAGATTTTGTAAAAAAAATTTCTTGTCCACACTTTATAAATCCTCTGGGGCTAAGGTAGTGCTGAGCCCAATTTTGTGTATAGGTTCTGGTTCTGAAGGCTTGGAAGGTAGAGTTTGCTGCCATGTTTCACCTAATTCTTTGCTCAGAAATCTTTCAAACCCATCAAATATATGGTAGCTGGTCTCTAAGGATTTCTCTCATATGGGCACCACAGTGCCTACTTAAAATCATCAAACCAAAGTTACTTGTGGCATACAAGATTAGTAGACATGGCTTCTAATATACTTAGGTACAGAAAACAGAGGGATCATAGAACATTTTTTCTGGTGCATGTGTGATATAGGCTGGCTGTAAATGCATATGCATAGCGATTACATGCTTGGGAGTTTGGGTCCTCAAAGGTTGTTTTTTTTTTTTTCATACCAGGCTATTTTTTTGTTAAGAGAAACACATTCTTTCTACAAAGAATCCAGTGGAAGTAATGCATAAAATAGGCATAAGTTATGCTTTCTTTGACATGTAAAATTTCTTTATCCCCAAAGTAATTTTTCTTTTTTCTTAAGAAAGAATATGGTACTGATTTTGCTAATTCTTCCTCATTGTGTGTATTAAGGGATTCTGAGGGGAAAAAATTAAGCTTCCAGTAAAACCTGATTTAAAATGTCATTTAAAGATGGGAAGGTCCTGCTTACTGCATTATTAAATCTCTTCCTGCCTAATACTGGGAGCTGACAGAAACAATATTCTGTTTGTTCAGATTCAGAGAGGAAAGAGGTGGAAATTCAAGTACTTGCAGTTTCATATATACTAAGCTTCAGATTTTCTGTATTTTATCTTTCCTTTGTGAGTTACATGAGGAGAGATGCAGTAATAATAGAAGACAGTCTAGACTCACATGTTATCACTTATCACTTATAAATCTCATGGCTTATTTATGATTTTGAAACCTTCAACTTGATGTAAAAACAATTTTATTTTTCTAATTAATTTTCTCCCATGTTTGGTTATGAAGGGGAGCAGAATTTGCCACCCCCAAATAAGCTTTTTCTAATAAGAATTATTTTAGACCAATTATTTTTTAGGAAATAGCAGACATAGGAAAAGCACTGTAAACCAAAAAGTTACCCTTTGTAAGGGGCATTTGGCTGTATAAGGGAAATCCCCACTTGTAAGGGTGTCTCCCTCTATACCAGGAAGAAGGGCATGACTCAGTCTCTAGAAACTCTTATCAGTGGAGAAGACAAGGACTTAAATCTGCATTACAGCCTTTACTGTGCTTTTCCTGGTCACCACTCATAACTGGTGTTCCCCCTCCACCTGTAACATCTTTTGTCTTTAGCTGGAGATGGTATTAAAAGTGAGGGCTTGGACCATTTCAAGAAGTTATTTTATTATCCTGGGTCTCTCCCATGTGTATAGGAGATAATCATGTTACTAAACTTCTGTCTGTTTTTTCTTGTTCATCTGTCTTTTATTACAGGATGGGTCTAAGTGAAGAACCTATATGGACAGAGGGAAAATTATGTTTTTCCCCCACAACTACTTCTGATATATGAAAAAAACATGCTGTAGAAAATTAATGCTGTTTTGTTGGTCAAGTTTTTCCTAAGTTTAAATTACTTCTTTGAAAGGATGTGTATGTCTATCATTAAAATATGAAGATGGTATTATTTATATTTGCCCCTTAAATATGTAAGCATGGCCTCCAAGGAAACTCCAGATCCTGTTTTTGTTGTCCCTATCCCACTATCAGATTGTATCCTGTACTTTGCAGAATCTCACCCTTCTGAACCCCGAGGTTACAGCTAGAGGATACTGTGAGTCATTTAAGCCACATGAGCCTGTGAGGTGACTGTCCTGGAGGGAATGAGGAGATTTCTTCTGGACTGACCAAATTTTGCAAAACTAAAATAAAAAATATTTGAATGTGTTAGGATAGGATTTTGTGTCCCAGCAGCCCCCTTTGTTCTTGTGTTTTCCCATATCTCCTAGGAAGGATTTTTGTTTTAAGCATAATCACACCTTAAAATTGCATTACAAGAGGCAGTAATTATTTCATGAAATTGGTTGATCTTGTAATATTTCAATCTATGTCTTAAAAGGCAGTACAGTGGTTATGAGCCTGGACTCTGGAAACAGACTTCAGGGGTCTGAATTTTGGCACCACCATTTACTAGCTATGTAAGCCTGGGAGAGTCATTTAATCTCTCTGCGTCTCAGTTATTTTTTAATCTATGAAATGAGGGAGATAATAATTGTACTTAGATGGTTGTTGTGAGGAATGAATGTATATTGTTAAATAACTCAATTCAACCAAGTAAATTTAAATATCTAATTGGTTTTATTAATTGATTCATGAATTGGATAACATCCCATCTAGCAAGTAGAGGGGAGCCCCACTGAACCACAGAGAAAAAAAGGTTTTTAAATATAGAGAGGGAGTGGAAAAGTGGAATTATTAACAGAGAATCCTTTGTTTGGTCAAAGTAGCCCTCCTAAGGGGAATGGAAAGGATTTATCAATAAATTTCCTGGTGTTGACCAGGAAATTCATATTGACTGGTTAAAGGTTCCATTCTGAGTGTGGGGTTGGGGGCTGAAACTGCAGTTAATTTAGGTGTTAAGTTTTGGTTTGCTGATGTAGGGCCATTAACATGGGTGACTACATCTTTGGCCCATGATTTTATTGTTAACAATATGTAAAGCATTTGAACGGTACCCAGCATGTAGTGAGAGTTAGGTGTAATTCATTTTTTTTCTGAAAGTCCTATGCTGACCCTGGACACAAAATAAAGAAGTTGAAAATTATGTCCATCTTTGTAAATGTCAAAATAATACATTGAACATTTTGCTTAATTAAAAAACCTATGTCTTTATATGAATATTAAAAGCTCTTCATCAATTGAAAGAGAGTTCTTGAGAACCACAGAAGTATGTATGACACATGGAGAAAAACAGGAAAAAATTTACTTGATAATCATAGACTGCTAGCCAGAAGGAACATTGAAAGCTATCCAGTCTATCCTTCTCAATTTATAGATGAAGAAACTGAGGCCCAGATAACTTAATGTCTTATTCATATTCAGCACAACTAATTATTCTCACTAGGTAGGGCTAGAACCCGTATCTTCCAGTTTACAGGTGACACGTTCTTTCTGATTCACCACAGCAATGGGGCTGCCAGTCGGGTATGTCTGTGAAGAGCAGGAAGAAGCTCACCTTCCCTGGTACCCTTGCAGAG